GTTGGACCGCGTCGCCAGCGCAGTGAATTTTGAAGCGCGAGGGCGCGCAGTTATATGGCGGCGGCCCGTGCTGCTACGACTGGGCGCAGGCGGCGAAAGGGGCGGGGGGGTGCTCGCGACGAAACCCGCGCGGCCCATGATTAACCACCCCTACGCTGGAGGGGCCCCCAGTGCGAACTGCCAGGGTCAGCGTCGACGCATCGAAGTAACCGGAATTGGCAGAACTGGGAGATCATATGCATTTCTGGACACGCTGTTTGGGCGCGCTGTCGAGCTCTCTGCGAAGGTCTCATTGGCCAGATGGCGGCCGATGTCCGATGGGGCGTTCTCCCAGAACGTGCGGCCCCGAGGTCAATTGGAGCGAACCAGACGAAGGAGTGGACAATGATTGGGATCGGAAACGAACCGGATGAACGTGGATACGGGCCTGCGCTTGCCCGCGCGTAGTTTCCAGGGGCTCAGGCGCCGGCCAAGTGCTCGAGGGCAGGGGGGCAATAGGTCCAAAGGAGGATATAATTCAGAGGGGAACGCAGCGTCGCCATCCACCTGCCAAGTTACCCAGGACATCCAGCCTCACCAGTGGATCTGCGGAACGCGCCCGTACCTGGGGCGGATGAAATTTTTGGGGTCTCGCGAGGCGCGCAGGCGTGGTGCTATAGCGCGGCCGGTAACCAGAGGTGACGTGCGCGTAGTTCACCGCGAGCATGATGCGCCAGGACGCAAGCTTGATCCAGACAGAGCTCACGTTAAAAATGGCTCGGGAGGAGGAGATGGAGAAACCCGCGGTCTACGGGAAAATCGCGCAGGAATGCTGGGCGGTCGCTGGCAAGGCCCCCATTGGCACGAGGTAGATTGGTATCAACGAGGGGGGCGGGGCCAATTCTGAGTGCCGATCACGGCTCTTGGCTCAGCATGTTAAGTGCATTTCCAAAGCAGGGGCATCGTTGCAGCCGCGCTTCCAATGGCAACCTTAAGGCATTGCTTTCCATTGTAATTACCGAGGGGATTAGGCATAATCGCGGAGGGCGCGAAAAGAGGCCGAAGCTGATTCCTATAGACGTTGAGCGGGCCTTCTTCTTCGCGAATAGCATCGCCGCGTGCGTTTGCACGTGCGGCAGGGCGGGCGCGGCGAACAGTGCGCGTGGGCGATGTCACTTGACTGGGCAATGGCATTGATCTTGACTGGTTCGGAGCAGGTGCGACGAGGGAGTTCAGAGTTAATCCGGGGATTGCCCAGGCAGGGGCCAAACGATGAAGGCGATCAGGATCAATCGCAGGATTGCGGAGTGGAGCTCGGATGGCTCGCGTTGCGAGGCAGACGAGAGGCGCGCTGAGATAGTCGTTGAAGAGTTGGACCTACACGTCGCAAGATGCGGGATGCCCTGCGAGGGGCGAACCCGCGGAGAAGATGATGAGGAGCTCCCACCGAGTGACAAAGCTAGGGGGGACCAAGCAGCTAGGGCAAAGCACCCCGCGCCGGATCTCCCAGTCACGCAGTTCTCTCGGTCGGGGAGCTCGCGCGTTCCATGTCGGCCCCGACCCGAGGGCCACGGGGCAGTCTTGCAACGTTGGGCAAGTACTTCAAAGGTCACGAGAGGCGTAGGCATCCCTATTTGTATTAGGGCTTCCGTCATGGGTTTACCGCGTGGACCTGCGCCGGCTATGTTGGATGCGTGAAAGACGTAAGTCAGCAAGCGGTGGAACAGTAATGTCGGGAACATTGTTTATAATGTCGTGGAGTTCGATCCAGAGCATAGTGGCGTTATCGTCTGGGGAAGCAGAGTCCTACGAAATGGTGAAAGGTGGCTTAGCGTGGGGACTACAAGGGCTTCTCATTTGTTCGACATTGATTGTGGTATCTGGTGACAGAGAGATGCCAGCGCAGCCCTTGTTTTTGCGGGCCAGCGAAGGCTAGGATAAATCAGACACATCGAGGCTTGTGAGCTTTGGTGACAAGAGAGGCGCGACGAGGAGATGCCACATTTAGCCAAGCAGGAACTCATGAGAACGTTGCAGGTGATTTGACCAAATATGCGGGCAGGGGCAGCATGCCCATGCATATGCGAGCTGCCAACCAACATCTTGTCAACGGGGGACATGACCTTGCACCCGCTACGGAGTATTGTCTCAATCGTTATATGGGCTATTATCGCGTGACGTCTTTCCGGAGATTTGAGCTCAGGAACCGTTGAGCTCCACGTGGTGTTACTTCACACTACAGATAATGAGAATCATGATGCATGGTTTGGTGCTTCGCGACACTTGAAAAATAGTGTGTCGCGCTTTGCGTTGCCCCTGCACGTCTACGCCCAATTCATTATCGCTTTCGGCTTGTACCAGTTTTTTGTTCGATCACTTCCTTTCCAAAACAACTGATGGGATAGAGTCCTGGCGTCGCTGCGCTACCCGCTGTTCGAATCCACCCGTTACCGAGCGGTGTTTGGTAATCGCGTTTCACCAGTCTCCGCATGTGGCTTGTCAGCCGATGGTGGGGTCAATCACAGCGTTGCGACTGGGTACGAATGGTGCGTTTGTTCAGCACAGTTGTGTCAGTGCAGCATTCAGTGGTTAGGTACCAGTCGTGGCAATATCAATGGACCGCATGGCTGCTCATGTGGTTCATATGCTTATGCCCGCTCGTGAAAAGCTCCTGCCAGATTTTAGAGGAGATGCGGAATGTCAGGTGGAACGGGAGGTGGACGAGGATGGGCAGGAGGAAGGGCGAGTTGAGGGGAGGGGGGAGCAGGAGGATCAGGAAGAGGGGAGGAGGAACAGTAGGAGGAGGAGGAAAGGGAGGAGGAGAAGGAGGAGGAGGAGGACGAAGAGGACGAGGAAGATGAGGAGGAGGTGGAGGTCGAGGAGGAGGAGGAGGAAGAAGACGAAGAAGCGGAAACCACAATCCAGAATCATATTGCTAAGAATAATAGTCAGAATACTGCTAGGAAGACGAAGGAGACGAATAAGACAACGAATAATAATCAACCGTTAATAATAGTAATAATAATCAACATAATGGTAGTACGACGAAATAGTTCAGTTTTAATACGATAGATAACACGATTGTTTTTACTAGTCACAAGCATAATTACATATATTTGTATACATACATAAACACATATAAGTAATAGTTATATCACGAAGATGAAAACGAAAACTATGATACCGGAGAAAAACCCTTATCAGGGCTATAGGGTTAGGGGGCTATAGGCCTGTAGGGCTATTGAGCTATAGGGCTATAGAGCTATAGGGCTATAGGGCTAATGGGCTGGAGGCTATAGGGCTACAGGGCTGTAGGGCACCCCCGGGCACGCCCCTGGCACCCGGGCACCTGGGCACCCCCGGGCACCCGGGCACCCGAGCGTGCGGCGACAACTTAACTATATGAATCCGCTTGGACCCCTACAGAGGCAAGCTCTGATTGGGGAAATATCAAGAGTAATATGGATAAACATAATACGAATGGTAAAACTAATACGCATACGACGAATAATACTAATAAGGATAACTGTATTGATACTACTATTAATCATAGTTTTACGAACACCAGTAATAGTGAAACATGTCATTAATAATTTCATGAAGAAGAAGAGAAATCGTAATACTACGAAGAGTAGGACGACTACTAAGAGAAATATTATTAATAATAAAATTAATGATATAATAATAATGCGAATTAAAAATTCTTCACGCTTCGCGTATCCCCACCAGCCCATCTCAAAACAGCAATTCTAGCGAAGCATGCCGAGAGTCGTGTTTTTCAGGCGTGTGTCCGCCTGCCCCCGCATATCTCCCCTGTTCCTCCTTCCTCCCGCCTCCTTGTACATCCTCCTTGTGGTGGGAACGGGAGAAGGACGAGGCGGAGGAGGAGGGAGAGAAAGCGCTCCTCGTGGTTTGCGTCGTTCGGGCTTCTCGTCCTGGTGTGAGTCGTTCGGGCCCTTCTTCCTGGTGTGAGTCGTTCGGGCTCTTCGTGGTGTGAGTCGTTCGGGCTCTTCGTCCTGGTGTGAGTCGTTCGGGCTTCTCGTGGTGTGAGTTGTTCGGGCCCCTCGTCCTGGTGTGAGTCGTTCGGGCCCCTCCTCCTGCCCGTCCAGAAACGACGCCCAGGCGAGTAGAGGGTCGTCCTGATGGGCTTTTCGGCGTCTTGGGTGCCTCGGGGGGGCCTCTTTGGGCCGTTTGGGATCCTCTTGGGGGCCTCCTGGGGGCCTCTTGGGGCCATCTTGGGGCCTCTTGGTGCCTCCTGGGCGCTTCTTGGGGCCATCTTGGAGGAAATCGATCAAAGAAGAGGGGAGCTTTAATTAGCGCTGCCCCCTCAGAAGGCCAAAATGGGGCCAAAACCTTAGTAAAATCAATGATTTTGGCTTGAAAGAAGAGGGGAGCTTTAATTAGCGCTGCCCCCTCAGAAGGCCAAAATGGGGCCAAAACCATAGTAAAATCAATGATTTTGGCTTCAAAGAAGAGGGGAGCATTTTTCTGCCTCCCCCCGTCGGGGCCAGAATCCTCGTGAGGGGTGTCGTTTTTTAGCCCTCCCAGGAGTCGAAAAAGACCCCTCCAACCACCCGCGGGGCGCCCTCTCCAGGCCCAGGGGGAGGGGGTAGGGGGAGGGGTAAACCCCTCCCCGAAGGGGAAGAAGGGGGGTTGAGAACAGAGAGAGCTCTCTAAACCACTCACGCCCAAAGGGCTGGAGGGACTACTAAGAAGAATTATAAGAAACATAATACATCATAAGATGAATAACTAGAACAGGAGGGGGATGGGGAGGAGGAGGAGGAAACGGAGGAGACGGAGGAGGCGGAGGAGGCGGAGGAGGAGGAGGCGGAGGAGGAGGAGGAAAAGGAGGAGGAGGAAAAGGAGGAAGGGGAGGACGAGGACGAGGACGAGGTCGGGGACGAGGATGAGGAGGATGAGGAGGAGGAGGTGGAGGAGGAGGAGGAGGAGGAGGGAGAGGAGGAGGAAGCGGTAGCAGGCAGGAGGAAGTGGAGAAACCCGTGCGGCGGCCGCGGCAGGCGAGACCCCGTCCCCGACCCCGGCGCCGGCTACCCTGACCAGCTTCACCATTGCCAACTCCTGCGTGGAGAGGCCCGCGGACGGAGGATGAGGAGGAGGAGGACGAGGAGGAGGAGGAGCAGGGGGAGGAGGATTACGAGGAGGAGGAAGGGGAGGAGGAGGAGGTGGAAGAGGAGGAGGAGGGGGACGAGGAGGAGGAGGAAGAGGACGAGGAGGAGGAGGAAGAGGAGGAAGAAGAGGAGGAGGAACACGAGGAGGATGAGGAGGAATAAGAAGAAACAACATACTCAGAAAATAGTATTAATATTACGAATAACAATACTAATACTAATAATAAGAATAACCATGCTAATAACAGTAATATTAAGAATGCTAATACCCATAGTAGTAATAATAATATTGAGGATGCTAATGATAATAGCAAACATCAGAATAGTAATGTGAAGAAGAATATGCAACATAAGAGGAAGAGGAAGAGGAGGAGGAGGAGGACGAGGAGGACGAGGAGGAGGGACGAACAGAAGGGGGAGGCAGGGGACAAGGAAAAAAGGCGAGGAGGAGGAGGAGGAGGAGCAGGAGGAGAGGGAGGGAGGAGGATCAGGAGGAGGAGGACGAGGGGGGGATCAGGTACGGTGGGGAGGGGGCGATGTGTGTATGCGTTTGCGTGTGCGTGCGCGTGTGCGTGTGTGTGTGTGTGTTGTGTGTGTGTTGCGTGTGTGTTGTGTGTTGTATGTATGTTGTGTGTGTTGTGTGTGTGTGGTGTGTGCGTGTGCGTGGTGTGTGTGTGTGTGTGTGTCGTGTGTGTGTGTGTGGTGTGTGGTGTGTGTGTGGTGTGTGTGTATGTGTGCGTGTGCGTCTGCGCGTGCGCGGGCGCGGGCGCGTGCGTGCGTGCGTGCGGGTGTGGCAGGTGGGTGCGTGCGTGCGTGCGTGCGTGCGGGTGTGGCGGGTGGGTGCGTGCGTGCGTGCGTGCGTGCGTGCGTGCGTGCGTGCGTGTGTGTGTGTGTGTGTGTGTGTGTGTGTGTGTGTATGTGTGTGTGTGTGTTTGTGTGTGTGTGTGTGTGTGTGTCTCTGACTGTCTTAATCTAATGTGTGGTATTGGTCGTGTGTGCGCGCGGGGCAGACCAGGGCATCAGACCACAACGTCGGCACCATGCACATCAGTCGCTGCAGCCTCTTTATCAAGAAGCTTGCAGCAGACACCTTGTCGCTCTTTCTCTGTGCCACCGCGGCATGCCTCTCAAGAGTGTGCAGAAGCCACTGGAATTCAGCTCGCACGTGGCGCTTGAGAACGCAACCCTGGCCAGTGTCTTTTGAACGCGCGATACTGTACCGAGCCTTTCGGCATCTCCGACAGCAGACGATGTCTTAAGGAGCTTGCCAGACTGACCCTTACTCTTCGCGATGTGTACGCGATCGTGTGGAGGTAAGGCGTTTTGCCGTGCTTGACCGCTCTCGCGAATTTGTTCCATACCACTTGTAGTTCGACGTTTGCGGCTCCTGGCCTTCATCAGTGAAGTTCCGTCCGTGAGCACACCCATTCATGATTTGGCAAACACAGTATACCCATACGACCACCCTTCGGGTGATAAGGAGGTTGTGTGGGGGGGAGAGGGGAGGGAATCAACATCTGACTCAATCGATCTCACTATTGATTTCACTCAACGGGACACCACGGGACACCACGGGACACTTGTCAATCTCACTATCGGTCTCACTCAACGGGACACCACGGGACACCGCGGGACACCTGTCGATCTCACTATCGGTCTCACTATCGATCTCACTCAACGGGACACTAGGGCACCACGGGACACCACGGGACACCTCGGGACACCACATCGATCTTACTATCGATCTCACTATCGATCTCATTCAACGGGACACCACGGGACACCACGGACACCTGTCGATCGCACTATCGATCTCACTATCGATCTCACTACCGATCGCACTTTTTGGGACACCACAGGACACCTCGGGGCACCACATCGATCTCACTATCGATCTCACTATCGATCTCACTATTGATCTCATTATCGATCTCACTCAACGGGACACCACGGGACACCACGGGCCACCGCGGGCCACCACGGGCCACCACGAGACACCGCGGGCCACCACGGGATACCCGGGACACCCGGGACACCGCCCGGCAAAATTGGGACGCTTCCCAGCCACCGGCGGACGGGAAACGGGACTTTCGCTCCTACTTCGGCCTAGCTACAGGAGGATCACGCGCAGCTTCGCCTCGCCCGCACGCACGACACGAACACGAAACCGAAACCGATTTCCCGGTGGGGGGTCTCCGTTTCACTGCGATGTCACCCCGCAACCTCCGACGCACGCGAACCCATCGCACAACACCAACAGCCCGTCGGCACGCTCCCCAAATCCGCCATTGAGATGAGTTTCGAGGAGTTGCTGCTTTCGACTACTGTGTGGGCAAATTTGATCCACCTACTTTCTTCTACGTCCTGGTGATGGGCGGTTGCTTCAGGGACGTATTCTGCATGTCGTGGAACGGCTCACGCTCGAGGTCGCGTGACAGCTGTCCCACCATTGTCCCTCGCCCGATCTTGTGATCATGCTCGGGATCCTGATTGCAGAGTGGGACGTGCGTTTATAATGCGATACCTGGTGTTTCATCCATCCACTTTAGTAGTATGTGCATATTTGTGCTCGCGGCCCACTACGCAGCATTCGGCCTCGTCAGGTGTGGACGCAAGGCAAAAGACATAGACGTACTGTTCAGAAATGTGTACTGTCTCGCCATGGATTCGCTGTGTTTTAGACGCACTTCAGTTGCATGTTTTCTCAGTCCTCAGGATGGCTGCTTCATGGGCGCGCCTGCACCGCGCATGCGCGCGCAGTCAACTCCACATCATATGGGCACGAATGCGCCACATGTGGGGCAAGGGCGCGCACGCCGCAGTACTGGTACACAAGGTGGATCCATAGCACGAGCGCGCGAGCATATGAAGTGTCTCACCAAACGTGGTCGAGGCGAGCCGTTTGCAGACTGGGCTACGAGTTTCGCGTTCCTGCATGCGCGCCAGATGCAACATACCCCGGTCGCGTTCATCGCCATCGTCTCAACGGGCGTGCTTTTCGCGGCCGAAACATGATACATCGGGCTCGCAGCTTCCGAGGCCAACAGCGTTTGAAGGATTCATGGCCCTTCCGTGGGCCACCGCTCTGGGTCTCGGCCCCCCGCGACAGCATATCGCGTTTTTAGCGGAGCCAGGGAGTCTCGGGCGCACCGGAGACAACGCCGACCCACCCCCGCAGAGGAGGTGCAGGTTCATGGAGTTCGGCAGGAAGCTAGGTTCCAGGCTCATCGAGAAGGTCACCTTCGGCAGATTCAAACACGGGAACGAACCGGGGAAGAGGGCAACATCACCCAAGGGCGTGACGCAAATTTGTACGAGTTTTTTTTGTTGTGCGACGACGTTTTGCGCGATTTCGAACTGACGGGCCCGTTTCTTCTGCGCGATCCTGCGCGACACTTTACTTCTACGATTTTGTTATTGGAGGTTTCGCGAGGTGGTTTGGCAATGAGCAGTAGCACGAACACCGCATGATGATGGTTATGTTTACACGCCCTAGGATGTGTCCGCGTTGTTCTTTTTCTGTCGCGAGATTGCAATTGCCCTGGTTTCCATCGTGTCGCATCTGGAAATGTTCGCCTCCCCTCCCTGTAGGCTGTGCTGGTGCTCTGTCTCAAGAGTCAGATGCGCCATCAGTCTGAAAGTGGTTGGGCATTATTTTGCATCACGTATCGTTTTCCAGGCCAGCTCGGGCATTGCCTGCGCGGCGGGAACTTAGAGTGATCTTGGCAAACGCGACGACCGTTCAAAAACAACGCGCCTCGATGTCCCCTCCTCACCATGCGAGTTCTCGGCGGGCCGCAGATTTCAACGTCCCTGCTGATGGCGTGGACCAGTCTCGCAGTCCTCTCTGTTGTCGACCCCGCGGTTTCTCGCTTGGATGGGCGAAATCGACAGTGGTGGTTTCCGTTTGTATGCGTCGTGGCTATCCAGGTCCGCGATTGACGGACTTGTTTTCCAGGTGTTCGCAGTTTTGATGTCGGGCGCCGTTGAAGATATTCGCCCGCCAACGCCGCGGATTCGCGCCCCTTCTCGCGTCTGCCAGACCTCCGCGGAGGTTCGGGGCCCCGTGCCTTTTTTCTGCGGTAGCGGACAAAGATCTCCGCGCGATGCGGGCTGTAACACAAGTACACGGCATGCGCACTTGCGTCGGTTTGGTTGGCTTTTTGGCGCTAAACAAGATGGCGCCTCATTGCGTTGCCGCCGTCGCGTATTCCACAATGGCGCAGGCTTGCGAGTGATGCTATTGCACCTGGGGGCCTCTGGCTCACCCAACAACGAGCCATCGCATCTACCTCCTACTTAAGAAGGACATGCGACGGCGACGAGGGAACTAAGATGCGCCGAAACGCCAGGCACTCATGCGCGCGTAGCACACGTTGTTTGCCACCGTCTTCCTGGGCGAGAACCAGATCCGGACATCTATATATATATATATATATATATATATACATACATACATATATATATGTGTACACACCTATACAAACATATACATACATACATACATCGATATCGACACATATTTATATGTATATGTATGGATCGTGGCATTACCGACCTCGCTAACGTCATCTTCCTTGGGCGGGCTTTCAGAGGCCCCGACGCAGCCTTCGAGGATTTGCGTCCGCCCACGCGCATCGTCGCTCTTCCGCGGCGACCGTCTGGACATGATCAGGCAGCGCGCGGTCATTGTCTACGAAATGGAATGCCAGGGATTCGCGGTCTCCGGCGCTGGACAAGGCGCGCGAGGCGCTCGAGCCAGCGGTGATCAGAACGGCCGTGGGTGACTCCTGGCCGCGCAGATCGCGATTGGAACGCGTGCGCGCAATTCCTGCGCCCCGCGCCTCGCCTCCCCCCAGGTCGCGCTCCGCGGGGGGGCCGCGGTCGAGCGCCGAGGCCGCGCTGTTTATCTTCGGGGGCTTCGCGGGGGACTTAGAGGGGTTCCTCGGCTTTGGGTTCAGCCTCTTCTCGGGCGCTGCATTTGCGATGAGACGTTCGGCCGCGGCCCTGCCCCTCGTCCTGCAACTAGAACGCTGCGTCTTCAATGCGTCACGGGCAGGGTCGTGGACGGCGCGATCCCCTCGTGCCGCACGCGCCGCGCGTACTTTCCACGCCAGGTGTGTCTTGTGTACAGAGGCGCGGGAAATTTTGATCTGGGCCATGGTCATCAGCAACATGGACGTAGTGCGAGTTTCCGTCATCTTGGCGCACTTGCATTCTGGCGCTTCGATGGGGCCACATGCGTACCATATCATTGAATAAACGAGAAGTGCGTCCCCATTGGCAATATCAAAACGATATGGAAACAAGCGAGCAGAGAACCCTATCTCAGCTGTCTCAGCCGACGGGGACTAGGACAGCTTCGCTTGGAACTTCAAGGACATCTGCAAAGCTTGAAGAGACGGCAATCCGACAACATAGTTTTTTTTTATCAGATTTGCCTCGGCTGGCGTGGCTTCCATGCATCGCATGAGATATCCTGCTAATCCAGGGCGTAGAGCACGGCGCCACATATCTAGTTGCGAACGACAGGGGCTCGCACATCTGTGTCTCGACCTCATTCCAATGACCTGCCGACACCTTGTCCCCGCAGCCGCGCCCGTTCCGTCTCGGCCGCATAGCGCGCGCACTCTTCCTCGCGACCGACGCCGGCAGCCCCCCCCCCTGCACGGGCGCTCCCGACGCCGCGGGCCCGCCGGCGCAGCCCCGGGAACGAGGGCCACCAGAGGCGGCCCAGAGGCGGCAAGGGACAGGGCGGCCACAACAGCTCTAACAGGGGCTGTCGTGGCACGCTTGGGTTCGATGCTCGTTTCGGGGACCTTCCTGGAGCCCACCTAACGGATCTGTTCGACCCCAGTTCGACCCCAGTTCGACTCGAGTTCGACTCAGGTTCGACTCAGGTTCGACTCAGGTCCGACTCGGGGTCGACCCAACTCGACTGACCTTCGACGCAGCTTCGACGCACGGGTGGAGCGAGTGGCTCCAGGAAGGTCCCCAGAACGAGCATCCTACTTGGGCAGTGGAACGGCACGGTCGATGGTCTTTCGGCCTCTGACGAGACAGGCCGCGCCAGCTCCGCCACTGTCAGCGCGGACAGCCAGGCGGCCACTGCAGCGCCTCCTGGCCGACGGCGCGGCGGCGCCCGAGGTTGTCGGCGCGTGCTCGTCGACGGCGTGCCTCGCGCTGACTGACGTCGGGGGCGCGCGCGGGGGCCCAGCTGCAAGCCGCCGGCAATCGTCGAGCGGCTCCACGAGGCGGCTGGGCTCGAGAGCGGGCACGGCAAGTCGCTCGAAGAGAACCCGGTTCTCAGACGCGCGAAGACGGAGATCAGCCGCGCGCGCGTCCGCCTCCCTGGGCCGTCGCGGGGCTCTCGCGGGGAGGGCTCGGGCCGTTTGGGAGCGATCTGGCGGGGCCTCTCGGGCCCTCCTCTGGCGTGAGAAGCAGGGCTCGAGCTGAGCGGTGTTTCGGCGATCTCGTGGACCTTTCTCGTTTGGATTCCGCTTCGCAGCAAAGGAAGCGCGAAGACAGAACGCACGAAAACGAACGCAACACGAAATCGAAAAAACACCGTTGAGTTCGAGCCCTGGCAAGAAGCTTGAGAGGCGAGTCTCGGGCCGCTCGGGGAGGACTCCAGCCGTTTTGTCTCGATCCGGAGGGGCCTCCTAGGCGCTCTTCGAGCTCGTCGAGCGGCTTTTCGGTAACCCGAAGCAGGCTGGAGATAATCTTCAGGGAGTCGAGTGACTGGGCTGCTTCGTGGCGTCCTGGGCCCTCTCGGGGCGCGAAATGCTTGAGATGCGCGAAATCGAAACAGCCTGGAAACAATGCCAAGGGAATCGATGATGGGGCTGCTTTGTGGCGTCTTGGGAACCTCTGTGGCCTTCTAGGTGGATATGAGGCTGTGAGGCGCCTCTTGGGGTTTTCTAGTTGCCTCTCGGAGCAAAGAGCTTCGCATGTCGGTTGGTGCTCCCCCTCTCGTCGCTATTTGGGGCTCTCTTGTGCCGACTTGGTCGGAGAGGGGGGATCACAATCCCTGCGGCGCCCCCCAGCGCCCCCCCCCCAGCGCCCCCCCCGGCGACCTCCCCCGCGGGACCAGATTTCGACGTTGTTCGATTTCCCTCTGGCTGGATCGTTTCGGGGAGAGGGCCCAGGGAAAGGAGGAGAGCGACGACGACGACGACGACGACAACGACGACGACGACGACGACGACGACGATTCAGTCGGAAAAGGAATATGGCGACGGCGACGACGACCACGATTCAAACTCACACGCCGGCCGAGTCGGTGGATTTCAATATTGTGGTGGCCTCCGGCCAGTGCCGCTGATCAGGGGCGCTTCCGTTGCTGCCGGAAGCGCGCGATGGCGGTCATGACCGGCGACGACGGCGAGCGGTGAGGATGATGATGAGGATTGGGAATGGAGGCAACGGAGTAGGATGAGGAGGATGAGGAGGAGGAGGAGGAGGAGGAGGGGGAGGAGGAGGAGGAGGAGGAGGATCATGATGAGGTGGAGGGGGGTTGGGGGTGGAGGGGCAGGAGTAGCAGGATGCTGAGGATGAGGAGGAGCAGGAGGAAGCGGAAAGTGGAAGGGGGGCGGGGGAAAAGGAGGAGCATGACGAGGATGAAATTTTCGCCGGTCGTTGGAGATGTTCGGCGGTTGTTGGACAGCCTCTTTGGGGCCAGGTGGTGGCCCTCTTTGGGTTGACACCTCGACGGTCTCTGCTGGGAACCACGGTGATTTGGGGGTCTTTGGGGCCTTCGCGCGGTCCTCTGCGGGCCCTTTGTGAGATCGTTGACGTGAAGGACACCGAAGACGGGATAAGATGTGAAACCGTGGAGAAACCTTTTGTTTTGCAGCGCTTGTGTTCCTACGTAAACGTCGTTGAAGCATTGGGGCCGGTTTGGGGTTTCCCGGGGGGAGTCTGGGAGGCAGCTTGGAGGCCTCTAGAAGGCGTTTTGGATGCATGTTTTGAAACTCCTGGGGGCCTTTAGGGAGGGGCCTCATCGGGGCCAGTTGGAAGCGTCTCGGGGCCTCTTCTTGCCTCTTGGGGGCCTCTGGGGGCCTGCTGGGGTTTCTTGGTTTGTTTTCGACACTTCCTCCGCCGTCTTAGCGCCCTTTCAACCGCCTCCTGGGCCCGTCCTGGGGCCCTCTTGGGCCTTTTCCGGGGTCCATCCTGGGCTATTTTGGGCCTTTCTTGGGCCGTTTTGGAGCCCTCTTGGCGGCTTCTTGGGCCGTTTTGGGGATCTCTTGGGGCGTCTGCGACGCTTTGACATCCCAAGAGGCGAATATGTTAAAATTGCACGCTTCCCCTCGGGAGTGCGACATTTTTTGTTTGGGGGGCCTTCTTCGGGGACGATTTCTCACGGTTTCTGAGGGCTTCTTGATGGCTTCTGGAACCGCATTGGGGACATGTTGGGCGTCTTGTAGCGATCGTTCGGCGACTCTGGGCTCTCTTGATCCATGTTGGAGCCCTCCTGGGCGAGGGGGCCGTCCCGGAATGAGTTGGAGCTCCGATTCCGCCCCTGGAATCAAATGGAACCACCCCCCAGTAGAGCAGAAGCTCAGGAATTCAGGCTCAGGCTCTTCTGAGGGCCTTTGCAACTCACGCGCCGGATCGGCGGATTTCAATCCAGACCCTCTTGCTTGAAAAATCTTTCAATTTCCAACCTATCAAGTCGGACCTTCTGGACTGAAATCCATATTGCAGTGTTTCATATTTCATTCTGGACTCCAGACCTTGCAAACATTTTCAAACCGATCCGGCCCCCCCCAAAACATTTACCAACGACGACGATCACCGCGACGAGCCCCTCACGACCCCCGCCCGACAGCTCCAGAAGTTTTCAGAGGCTCGTGGAAGCCCTCACAGGCCTACGGGGGCCCCTGGGAACCTCGCTCGTCGATGGCCCTCTCAGGATCGGTTCCCGAAGCGCTGACGGCGATGGCGGCGGTGGCTTCGTCAGGCCGTACCTCGAAGGCGAGTACAACGCGCAGGGGATGACGGCCAGCGGCCTGCCGTACTACAGGCGCCACCGCCGCGCCCGTCCGCCCTCCTCGCCCCGCCCTCCTGCTCCTCGCCCTCCTCCAGCTCCTCCTCCTCGCCCTCCACCTTCCTGCTCCTTCCTGATGATGCTCCTCCGTCGTCGTCGCTGTCCTCGCCCTCGTCCTCCGTCGTCGGCGTCGTCGTCCTGTCCTCACCCCAGCGCTTCGCGTGGCGCCCGTGGGAGCACCGCGCGGATCGAGGACCCAGGAGTGCCGACGGTTTCGAAGATCGGAGCTCGAGCATCGATGTGCTCTGGCGCTGCCCCCCCATACCCATGATGTTTGTTTTTCTTGTGCGATTCCTCTTCATCGTTCGCACTCCCTCTCCCTGTCTCTCCCCCTCTCTTCCACACTCTCCCTCTCCCTCTCTCTCTCTCTCTCTCTTCCTCTCCCCCTCTCCTTCACACTCAGCCCCCCTTCCCTTCCACACACTCAGACTCGCTCTCGTACCGCCTCTCCCTCCCCCCCTCTTTCACATTCAGACTCGCTCACACCCATACTTAAGCTCAGGCTCGCAATGCTCAGGCCCACTCGTATCGTATCCAGACTCACTCGTGCTCTGATTCATTCGTATTCAGATTCACTCGTACTCAGTCCACTCGTGCTCAGACGTGCTCATATTCATATTCGCTCATGCTCACTTCACTCATTCTCACACCCACTCATACTCAGATCCTCTCCTACTCAGATTCACCCATACCCAGGCTCATTCATATTCAGATCCACTCAGACTCTGCCTCACTCACACTCCGACGCACTCCCACTCAGACTAAATCGCACTCAGACCCACCCACCTTCAACACTCAGACACACCCAGGCCAATTTACACTGAGACTCGCTCACACTCAGACCCACTCGCACTCGGGTGTTCGCAACACACGCACACACACACACACACACACACATACAGCGTCAGCCATCATAAACATGACCTCAGCGATGTAGCAGGCAGATTTTGGGGCCAGATGATGGGTATGTCTCAAGCGAAACGCCCGTTCGCGGCTGTGGACGCGGTTCTTTTCAGAGGCATCCTTATGACCAACGCGATGCAGCAGGCGTGGCATTCGGACCATTCAGGGGGTTGCCGCCAGGGGGAATTGCGCGGGCTCGTTCCCAGCCAGACTGTGGGGAAGCCTCGAGCGAAGCACCCGTTCTCGGCTCCAGACGCGCTGCTTCTCATAGCCTCGTGATCACAGCGACGCCACAGGGGCATCCAGACCACCTAAGGGGAAGCCGCCGGGGCGGGGCGTCTTGCGCGGGCCGCTCTCGCGCCCAGGTGGCGGGGACTCTGGAGCCCAACGCGCCTGCGGCTGTGGTCGCGCTTCCCTTCAAGAGCCCTCAGGCATGGCACGCAGGCCGCCCCAAAGTCGGGCGATCGCAGACATGGATCAGTCAAGGGGGGGAGCGGACTCGCGACGGGTCCCGTTTCCGTGGGACATCGCGGACTTCCGCCGCCGAGCGAGGCGGCACCGGCCGCATTTTGGGGAGGGCACCCGCCCCGATCCATGGATTTGGCGACCGCAGGCCAAATCCGCGGATCGCTGATCCATGCCTGCGCGCCCCCGACACAGGGAACCACCAGGGGGCAGCAGCTCGCGGGCCCGTCGGCGCCCGCGCTGTGGGAGTGCGTCGAGCGCGGAGGACTGCTTCGGGGGGGAGGCGGCACACATTGCGTCTCAGTGCAGACTTCCGCGACCACCGCGACGCGGTAATCGGCTGCGAGCGAGGGGGGAAATGTGAGCGAAGAAGACAAAGAAGTGGGCGGCGAAGTGTGAGCAGAAGAAGAGAAAACGGCATGAACAACATATCGGTGGCGAGCAAGGAAATGAGAAGGAGAAGGCCGTCTCAGAAGGCGGCGGGACTTCTCAGAAGCCCTCGCGCCTTCTGAGAAGTCTTTGGGCGTCTTCGGGTAGGCTTGGGGCACTTCTCAGAAGGCCCGGGGACTTCCGAGCCTTCTGAGAAGGCCCGCCCCTTCTCACTTCCCCACCTCGCTCGCCGCCTAAGCAAGCACGGCATTTGCGTCCAGGGGAGCCGACAGGCGGTGCATCACGGGTTCGCTTTGACGGCCAGACCCGAGTGCGCTCCGTCGCGCATCCTCGCCCATACAGTCAACCCGCAGAGTAAGGATGGGCAACCTTCCCAAGGGTACCCTCGCATCCTTGCCTCCTCGGTCCATCCTTGGCCGCTTTCGCTGACGGCGCACCGCTCGGAGAGCTTCGAAATGGGCTTCCCGGGACCTTGCAACCTTTTCGCGCGTCCTTCTGATGCGGGCCGACTATAGACTATACCCAGGCACGGGGATCTCCGCGTCGAATGATTTTTGCGCGCATTGGGGGCCTCTTCGGGTCTTCCTGGGGCCCCCCTGGGGACTTCGTCGTTTCGGGGGCCTCAAGGGTCGAGGAGCGTCAGAGCTGCCGCTGCCCCCCGAGTGGGGGGGTTCAGGATCGAAGGTCGCCGCCTCGTCGAGGTGTTCGGCGGCGCTGCTGTGGGCTCTGGTCCTCCTAGCTGCACGCGCCTCGAAGCACGTGCCAGGAGGCCTCATTGGGAGGACGCTCCAGTTTTGATGGGCCCTCGTGGGAGCCTCTGGGGACTTCCTTGGGCCGTGGGGACTTCCTGGGGCCCTCGGAGTTCGTCGGCGTCCTCGTGCGTCGTCGTCATCGTCGTCCCACCCCTCCTCCCCGTCCTTCCATCCCATTTGCCCTCGTCCTTCACCTCCCTCTTTTTCTCCTCTTCCTCATCTTCCTCCTCCTCCTCCTCCTCCTCCTCCTCTTCTCGATCTACTTCGTCCACCTCCTCCTTCCTCATCTTCCTCACCCTCGCCGTCGCCGTCATCATCTCTCCTGTCCCCCTCCTCCTCCTCCTGTCCCCATCCTCCTCCTCCTCGCCTTACCCTTTTCACCAGTCGTCCTGACATTTCTTCTCCCTGTCCTCCTCCTCCTCCTCCTCCTCCTCCTCCTCCTCCTCCTCCTCCTCCTCCTCCTCCTCCCTCCTCCCGGCTCCATCCGCCCTCGCGTCGTCGTTGTCGTCGTCATCGCCGTCCTTCTCCTCCCCTCGATCGTCGTCGCCCTCCTCCCCCTCGTCGTCCTTCCCTGCGGTCGTCGCCCTCGTCGTCTTCCTCGCCCCTCCTCCTGCCCAGCCCTCCTGCTGCTCCCCTTCCCTCCCTCTGCTCGTCCACCCTGCTGTCGTCCACCTCCCGCCAAGACAATCCGAATGCTGCTCGTGGAAGGCTGGGTTGGGCGTCGCGCAACGGCGGGGGGTGGGGCGCGATGGATCGGCGGGCAGCGGAAGGCTGCAGAAGAGTGGCCTTGTGGGCACCCGGAGGAGCCTTTTGAAGGCCCCAGCGGGGGC